TGCTGAAGTGGTAAAAACTAAGAAAGAAAAAAAAAGAACAACACTCACATACGGGATACGTCAGATTTGGCTACAACAACTTGGTTTAGAACAGAACTTTGAAAATGTTGTATGAATTATTTTACTTTCACTCACTGTTCTCCCTTAATCTCTCTCTCTCTCAATCAACCACAGCTCTTTCATTGTCCAATTTAGTCATGCTGTTCATTCGCACTCTTTGTCTCTCTCTCTCGGTGTATCTCTGCCATCAACAAAAATACATTTGTTTTTAAAATTAATAAAAGTTCCACAAAAGATTACTGGTGCCCTGCGAGACTTCCTGAGGTAAAAATGCTCCAACAATCAGGAAAACACAAGCGGAAGCTTTGCACTTGGGTCAACTCTACTTTTGTATATATATATATATATATGGGCTGTATGTTAACTTTTTTTCCCACATAGCACTGGTGCTACAGAGGTTGAAAGTTTTGTAGCACAGGCCAAAAAGGAATATAACTTAACCTTGTGTTAGCACCATCTTCAATTATGTAACCAATGCCGAATGTTGCTGAAGTGGTAAAAACTAAGAAAGAAAAAAAAAGAACAACACTCACATACGGGATACGTCAGATTTGGCTACAACAACTTGGTCAACATGTTTTAGAACAGAACTTTGAAAATGTTGTATGAATTATTTTACTTTCACTCACTGTTCTCCCTTAATCTCTCTCTCTCTCAATCAACCACAGCTCTTTCATTGTCCAATTTAGTCATGCTGTTCATTCGCACTCTTTGTCTCTCTCTCTCGGTGTATCTCTGCCATCAACAAAAATACATTTGTTTTTAAAATTAATAAAAGTTCCACAAAAGATTACTGGTGCCCTGCGAGACTTCCTGAGGTAAAAATGCTCCAACAATCAGGAAAACACAAGCGGAAGCTTTGCACTTGGGTCAACTCTACTTTTGTATATATATATATATATATGGGCTGTATGTTAACTTTTTTTCCCACATAGCACTGGTGCTACAGAGGTTGAAAGTTTTGTAGCACAGGCCAAAAAGTTGTAGCACAAGTATAAAACGTCTGTTATCATGTCTGAAAACAAACACAAGTAATGGAGTTCATCACTTAAACAGACACTGATGTTCCATACAGAGCACAAAAAATACAAACCATCACAAAAATTGTTTTAGACAAAGTTTTCTTAATTTGCTAAAAATGGAAGAGTGCAGAAACAGAACACCTCTTACACCTTAACAAAATATAAAATAAAAAACAATGGCAGACATTTAGGCAAAGTTAGCAAAGATAAAAATCTTTGTCATTATTTTATCTTTGTTATTAGAAAATAAGAACATTTCTCAGGTACAGTATTTAGCAGTATTTACAACATTTTATTTTTCAGGTACAGTATTTAGCAGTAGCATTCAAGAAACTGAATGAACAAATATGAAAATAAAACACTATATAAAGAAATTAAAATTTTTGGGTGAACTATCCCTTTAATGACAGGTGGCAGCATATTTAGTAGCTACTGTCCTTTTAAGAGCTTCAGTTTCTCTCTCAAATGTTTACTTTCATTTCAGACATAACCAACTGTGTTTATATGTAAACCTTGTGTGTTTTTGACAGTATTAGATGCAAAATCAATCAGACGCGAAAGACAACTTAGTTCAATAATCAGGCGCTTTTTGACAGGCTCTCAGTGTGAGCGCGCTTCTTGAGTATGCGCTCAGAAAAAGCGCATGCAGAACAGCACGTGAATTAAATGTTTAACCGGTATTGCTTTAAAGCAGATGGAAATAATGTAGTTTTGTGATTGCGCATAAGTGCAGTGTCCCGTGAGAGTAACTCTACCACTGAGCTAACACTGATGTGAATGCATGTGGCATTGTACATTATATTGAGACGGAGGGAGGCGCCACAACTGCAGCTGATAGAATGTGCGCTGTAGCACGATACAACAATATTTCTTCAAAAGCAGATCATGGAGACTAGAGACCGACCGATATGGGTTTTTTGGGGCTGATACCGATACTTGGGAGTAAAAAAAAAGACAGATATCGATATATAGGCCGATATTCTTTGTGTATATTATAGTACAGTACCAGTCAAAAGTTTGGACACTTTCCCATTCCTGTGTCCAAACATTTGACTGGTACTATATATAGAATACAGTATATACATAAACAGAATATACATACATAAACATTTTTTGCAATGGTCACTCAAATGTGGTGATCAAACACTTATAATGACGTGACAAAAATATGTAATGGAGGCAGGGCATTTAACAATTTAACAAACTTTATTCAAAATGAGTCTGACATCAGTGCACTGAACAGTAAAGTTGAAGTTTATTCAACTTTAATTCAATTCAATTCCATTCAACTTTATTCCGTTTAAGTTTTTCACACTTTGGAACATTCATTCACGGATCTGCGCTACTGTCTTCACACACAGACGAAACTTACTAGAGAAGTGTGAAGTGTGACATAAATTTACCTCTGTAAATAAATATAAATTCATGTTTCGCACACTTTAATGCCCTTTGAATGCAACGTGTACGTTCCCTTGGAACTGGAATCATGGCGGAATATCATGTGAAGTCCACTTTGCGGGGCACTTACGGTCGAATAAGACGACGCTTGAATGCTGCTGCCTGAACAAGAGACCTCCTTACTGAAGTGAAAGTGTTGGCTGGTGTCACTATCTCGTGAACGCACCGGCGAATCTCCACCAAATTCGGGGGATCCCTTCAGCTCGAGGAGCCCTCTCGAACACCACCTTCTGCGCGTCGGTAGCCCCCCGGGATCGCTAGATCGGTTGGTGCCGGACCGTGAATTTAACCGCCCATAACTCCCAAACCCCGGGGGCTATCGACGCGGGGGTAGTCTCATTCGAAAGCAGGCCTCTAGAAATACACTCAATTTGCATACGAGAGGGTTCCTCGAGCTGAAGGGATCTTCCGAATTTGGTGCGGATCCTTCCGTGCCGTTACGGAGATATTGCCGTTCAAAGTTTCAATGGTTTTCCATAGACTTAAGCTTTAAAGCGTTTAATCCAGGTCGCCAGTAGCAAACAATGGAGCGCGCTCTGCTGGACAAACTAAGTAATTACACCATTTCAAGCATTTTATCTGCATTATATGCTCTGTAAAAAAAAAAAAATTCGTATCGGCGGCATATCGGTGGCATATTCGCTAAACGATATATCGGTCGGGCTCTAGTGGAGACATTCAAAAATCATTCAGTTTTTTCGTAGCACGTGCGACATATATTCTGTTGGACTGAATGACACTAAAGACTGGAGTAATGGCTGCTGAAAATTCAACTTAAAAATCAGATTTTTTTTTTATATATATTAAAACAGAAAAAAGTTATTATAAATTGTAATACTTCATAAATGTTACTGCTTTACCTGTATATAAAAAAAACAAAAAAAATGAAGTTTTGGTGAGCATAAGAGACTTCTTTCAAAAACATTTACAAATCTTACCAAGCCTAAACTTTTGAGCAGTAGTGTGTGTTTTCTGCATTTTTTTTTACATAGCTGTGAATAAATGAAAGTATTTGAAATGTATGACTCTTAATTTATTACTTCTACTTTTAACATGTGCAATTATTCTGTATTAATAGGAATATTGCAGCATTCTGCAGATACAAAGTAAAAGCAAACTAATTTTGTTATTTGTTAAGGCCACAATGGCCTACACAGGTTTATGCCCACATTTGCCTCCAAAGTGTGGGCATACTGTGGGGTCCACTGGGGCCCTTGGTACACATTTTCGGCTGGGACTCTACTTAGCAGGACCAAACTAAATTTGTTATTGGTTAAGGACCCACACAGCACACTCATTGTGCCCCACTGTGGCCACACCCAGCCCACAGTGTGGACATACTGTGGGGATGTTATGGGCCCACAATTGGCCCCATTGGAGGCCCACTCTGCTCTGTGTACTCTGCCTGTATCGGGGCCCACAGTGGGCTGCTCACATGGGCTAGATTTTCTGTCTGCAGTGGGCCCACACAGGCCCCAAAGGGGCATGTTTGCTGGGTAGTATACATTAAGTAATTCTGGTGTATTAGCATTTTATGAGTAGTAAATCTAGTAGAGTTTTGTGTGACACTGTGTCCAAACCAAATGCAATGCGCTAAGATTATATTGATAAGCAATTTTTATGTCTACATCAGACGCAACATGGCGACAAGACGCAACAAAATCAATCACAATTTACAGCCAAGCAGAAGAGTGTGTGGGTGGGTTCTCTCTGCAAACACTGTCTCTCTTAACAAAACAGATAAGTACATAATCAAATTCATGAATATTGAATCATTTTAATATTATTCAAAACATACTCAGTGACTGATACAATCTTTGCCATCTAATACAGTTGTTTATTTACACAGGGTTCACAGTTATTTTCAACATCCATTGTTTCTTTAATTATGACTATTAAAGTCGTGCAGAAATTATATTCAAACTCAAACTAAACTATTATAATATTGCACAAAACATACCTGAGATCATCACTGAGCCATCAACTGCTGTTTTGGCTGGTCAAGACAAAAACTCTAACATGGAAAAAATACCTTTTATCCCATGTTGTATTGATACATCTTAGGACACAGTCAAGTAAATCTAATTTGTTAGCATTAAATAAGTGAAACTAGTGTATTAGCATTATCTGTGGGAAATCGTGTTAGGTATCATTTTGAGGTAATTGTTTAACGTGAGAGCTGTGAACTAGTGCATGTGTGGGTGAGCATAAAAGTAATAATATATGAGAGAGAAATTCATGAATGTGATGAGCAAGGCACTGTCCTAGACTCACTCACACACACACACACACACACTTTTAATATTGGACTGAGCTGCGGTTAAACCGTAACAGCTCTTTAGTCAAACACAAACACAGCTGCTAGCATGTAAAACAAGCAATGAGACCTGTGTGGAAATAAATGGTCATTAGGACATTTTGGTCTAGTTTTCATCATAATTCACTGACAAACAAGAGTCCTTTTTTTTTTTGCGAGAAGTGTCATCAGCAGCCAGTGTGCTACTCACTCACACTCTGAGAAAGCAGAGAAAATGGCCAATGATGCAAACTGAAGGCTATGGAAAAGGTGGGTTTAGGAAGCTGGAGTAATAATGTGTATCAAGGTAACAAAGTGCATTTAAATGAAAGCAGGACACACACACATCAAGAGAGTAAAAGCTGGTTAAGGCGCCAAAGCAAGCAGCACATGGCCCCGCCGTGAGCAGTCCGCTGAGAGATGTTGGGATGCTGGATTTCATCCTGCAGGGTATTTATACAAATGGATGTATCTATGTGAGTGTGAGGAAGAGAAAACAAAAGAAAAGGTGGTGGATGAATGCAGATGTCTCCTCTATAACCTACACAGCGCATAAAGACTCCATATTCCCAATTTAAAACACATTAACACACAGATAGAGCAGATTGCAGTGCCCTGTATTCCCTCATCCACATCACTCTGCAGACCTCTCATTACGGCTAATTACGGACTTTTCACAACTCATTCTTAACCCTGGGTAAACAATCTTGTTCCTTGTTCCATGTATTATAATGTTCACACTAGGGCTGTGTATCACCAGCAAAGTCACGATACGATGCGTATCACGATAAAGAGGCCACGATACGATACGTATCACGATACGGGACTGCATTGAATTTCACCTCAGAAGAGTTTAGTAAAACAGCTGTTTATTAAACACTGCATAATATAGTGCCATTTCTAACTATTGGCAGAGCAGGCAGCTGACCTCTGCATTATGAAGGGCCTCCATAACTGAACCACAGTACAATATAGGTTATGGCATATGTTTCATGTTTACATTGTGCACTCCCCACCAGGTACAATATTCTGATTGTTTGCATCTTGTTTTTAAGCCCATAAATAATAATGTACTCGTTCTAATAATTTTATATTGTAATGTACTCATTCTAATATATTAAAAAATCATATTTACATTGCTGGTAGGTTATCATTGCACAAACGAGTTCTAAACTAATGCACTGAATCTAACACACACACACGCTCAGTCAGATCACGTTGCGGCTGCACTCAGACATTCAAGAACAAACTTTTTAGCGCTGCCCCACAATTTTATCAACTAAATAGCTTAATCGCTCAAGAGCTACATTAACTTTCTCAACAAGGAGCTGGTGACATCATTGTTTCTAAAGGAATTAAAGCCACAGCTTCACTGTTAATAGAGAAACGCGGCAAAACGGTGGTAATTCATACATACACAGCCTCTCTCTCTCTCTCTCTCATAAATGAACTCGATATGAATTACACTTTTCTGAGTATAGAATATTGAAGTAGAGATCGCTAAACTGCAAGCTAACCAGTGTTTTCAGAAAGCAAGCACATTTATCCACAGTGGAGAGAGCGCGTGTACACAGGGTTGCCAGGTTGACAAAGGTAAGTAGCACGCTTAGATGATGTTTCCGTATTGCGCAAGTGGGAAACTCTGTTTTGGGGATTACGTCTCTTTATATCAGGCAACCCCGGTTGTGTTCCTCTGCGGCCAGATTAAACATTGTTGTAGCCTATATATTATGCTCTATTCATTAATTTTTAGAAATCTTGCACTTTTCTACTCCGTTTTAAACGTTGTTCTTGTATTCAAATTAATCGCGGCCCTCTGCTGCACACGTGCCACAATATCGATACTGGGACAGCTGTATCGATACTCATATCGTCAAATCTCTGTGACGATACATCATCGCATCGATGTATCGAACACAGCACTAGTTCACACATTACCCTGGGTTAGTAACTAATCAAAGATAGTCATGTTTTTCATACTACATTTGTAAACTCTGGGTTATTTATTTGCATATTTACTACTACTAGTAGGGCTGGGTAAAAAAATATTGATATCTTGATTTTAATTCTAATTTTTACAAAACGATATCGATTCTTAAATCCCAAGAATCGATTAGTCTAGCCTGTTTTCAGTTAATGGATGGAACATTGAAGCGCACCTCCCATCCAATAAATCGCAATAAGCATTGTGCGTTGGTACTTTAAATATGAAAATTTCAAATTTAAATTTATGTCCATTGTATTGCAGTATTCAAACAATAAATGCTGTTTTGGCTCCGTTTAATGTGGAGTGACAGATCGCTATAGCTAGTGTTGTCAAAAGACCCGGTACCAAGCCGGTACTTAAAAAATGAAAACGTTACGGTACCAGTTTTTTTTTTTTTAAGTACTGGTGGTACCGAGTACCCGGTCAACCCGGTTCTTGATGTGCTATCTGAAAGGTGCGCAGATGCGTTCTCTTCATAAAAGCACTGAGACGTGGCGACCTTAAAAGGAGGAAACACATCAAACTAACAAAACACTTTAAAGACTGACACCCGGATCAAATGAAAGAGTTCAAGCAGGTAAGTTTCAATTTTATTTTTAATATTTCGATCTTCTGTTATGAATATTATTCCATATTTTAATTTGAATGTCGGATTGAAATCAACATTGCCGTTTGAATAGTTAGCCTAAGCGTAGCTAACGCTAATATAATGAGCATTAGAATGAAGTTTCTTTATGAACTATTTAATGCTCCTATAACTTTTATTAGGGTAAAAAAAAAACAGGAGGACATGGTGGTATTTACTATTTTTACACACCAGAGGCTTTTAAATGAATTGTGAATCTAAAATATGCGTGTTAGAGAATGTTCAAAAGGTTAACATTGTGTCATATCAGTCCGTCAGAAAAGCAGTTCTTGGCTTTTTTTTTTTTTTTAGCTAAGTTAGTTGGTTAGTTGTTATTCTTGGCTGGATAACTCTAGCAGGTATAGATAACTAAATATGTACACAGTTTGGATTAAATGAAAGTACAGTCAAATTTTATCTCCTGTATAGACTATCTAACATCAGCTTACAGTTAGAGAACAATATATTTTTACAATTAATGTTTTTGAATGTTATTTAATACAAACACTTGATCATTCATGTTTGTTCATTGTGCATTAAATACTTTTAACAGATTGAACTGATTTTATGTATTAGTAAATTTTTTTAATTAACCCCAAGAAGAAGAATTATATAACTATATAACTATTGTTTATTGATAGGTCATGTTATCCAACAAATGGAATCTTATTGTAAAGTGTTTTTAATACTACAGTGTCCATCTATTTGATATACACTTGACTTGAAATATATGTAATCTTATCAAAATGTATTATAAAAGCTGAGGTTTGTTATTTACTGAAAAGTTATATTATAGCTGATGTCAATGATCTAATGTTGCATTTGGTCAGACTCAGTCCATTGCTTTACTTATATTTTCCTTTTACAGCTGCAGGCTGAAGAAGATCATGAAACACACCAGCAAACCCTAACAGTTTACATATGTTTTTCAGCGGCAGCAGAAATTCATACATTTTATGTTAATTTGTGAAGATTATGATGAACGAAGCGTGTAAGGATAATACATTTTTGTTGGTCGCAGAGATTATTTCCAGCAAAAATCCAAAAGCCAATGGAAAATCCTATTGTTTTTTTTAATCGAAGGAACCAGGGTGCTGTTAACTTCCAGGTTGGCCTACAAAAGTATGTCATCACTGCAGCACTTTATGGTGTACACCAAGGGTGTCCAATCCTGCTCCTGGAGGGCCAACAGGTCAACAAAGTTTAGTTCCAACTTCCAACCAACTTCAACACACAAGCCTGGAAGTTTCTAGTGAGTCTGAAGACATTGATTAGCTGATTCAAGTGACTTTAATTAGGGCAATGCTAATACTAGCTAAAGAACTACTGAATGCCTGTTTAACTCTCAACAAGTAATCACAGTAGTGTTTTTGATCAGGAACTGAGGAAGGGAGACTGTGCAGGGTGGATAGCATTTTGGATGACAACAGAGCAGTTTTTGATAACAGGTTAAAATTGGTTGGTTTCTTTCAAAACTACATGAGTTAAAAATGACTTAACCTGGGATTTACAGAAGACATTAGACAGTTTAGCTGCACGGTATAGATAACTAAATATGTACACAGTTTGGATTAAATGAAAGTACAGTCAAATTTTATCTCCTGTATAGACTATCTAACATCAACTTACAGTGAGTGAACAATATATTTTTTACAACATTAATGTTTTTGAATGTTATTTAATACAAACACTTGATCATTCATGTTTGTTCATTGTGCATTAAATACTTTTAACAGATTGAACTGATTTTATGTATTAGTAAATTTTTTTAATTAACCCCAAGAAGAAGAATTATATAACTATATAACTATTGTTTATTGATAGGTCATGTTATCCAACAAATGGAATCTTATTGTAAAGTGTTTTTAATACTACAGTGTCCATCTATTTGATATACACTTGACTTGAAATATATGTAATCTTATCAAAATGTATTATAAAAGCTGAGGTTTGTTATTTACTGAAAAGTTATATTATAGCTGATGTCAATGATCTAATGTTGCATTTGGTCAGACTCAGTCCATTGCTTTACTTATATTTTCCTTTTACAGCTGCAGGCTGAAGAAGATCATGAAACACACCAGCAAACCCTAACAGTTTACATATGTTTTTCAGCGGCAGCAGAAATTCATACATTTTATGTTAATTTGTGAAGATTATGATGAACGAAGCGTGTAAGGATAATACATTTTTGTTGGTCGCAGAGATTATTTCCAGCAAAAATCCAAAAGCCAATGGAAAATCCTATTGTTTTTTTTAATCGAAGGAACCAGGGTGCTGTTAACTTCCAGGTTGGCCTACAAAAGTATGTCATCACTGCAGCACTTTATGGTGTACACCAAGGGTGTCCAATCCTGCTCCTGGAGGGCCAACAGGTCAACAAAGTTTAGTTCCAACTTCCAACCAACTTCAACACACAAGCCTGGAAGTTTCTAGTGAGTCTGAAGACATTGATTAGCTGATTCAAGTGACTTTAATTAGGGCAATGCTAATACTAGCTAAAGAACTACTGAATGCCTGTTTAACTCTCAACAAGTAATCACAGTAGTGTTTTTGATCAGGAACTGAGGAAGGGAGACTGTGCAGGGTGGATAGCATTTTGGATGACAACAGAGCAGTTTTTGATAACAGGTTAAAATTGGTTGGTTTCTTTCAAAACTACATGAGTTAAAAATGACTTAACCTGGGATTTACAGAAGACATTAGACAGTTTAGCTGCACGGTGAAAAGCTCTACTGCAACAATCATCTCAGTTTACACTCAGACACCAATTACTCCTGGGATATAACCATCACTTTCAATCACACACACTTATGTGGGGAGAAAAAGTACTAAACAAAAGAAAACATTTATTTCCAGGTTTATGGGCTCATTAGAGACAAGCAGCAATTTGAAAGTGAAAATAATGGCATTTACTGCAAGCTGTGCTGACTCATCATCTGCAGCCCACAGGCTGTTGAGCTTTATGTAAGAGGTCTTAAAGTGTCACCGCCAACTAAAACACATTAAACTTGATCAATATTAAAAGTCAAGTAGGTTTGAATATTATTCGTGTCCGTAAAATGAATGACGCAAGAAATCCCAAACCCTGAGTATGAGAATTGGAGCCGTAATGCCTGCCTTAGCAAACAACTCTAACTCCAACTCCAATAGACATCTGCTTCATTTGGGAACAGATCTCGCACAGTAAGACAAATTTTGTGGTACATCTGGAAGAATGAAAATCAAACTCTGCATTACATCAGTGGAAATCTGTAATAGCATTTAAAACGAATCAGCCAGTGGCTATAACTCTCTCAGAATTATTCTCATCCAAGATTGCAACCCATTTTCAAAAGCTGATAATTACAGTGGGGAAAAAAAGTATTTAGTCAGCCACCAATTGTGCAAGTTCTCCCACTTAAAAAGACTTAAAGAAGAAGTTACAGGTCTGTGAGAGCCAGAAATCTTGCTTGTTTGTAGATGACCAAATACTTATTTTACAGAGGAATTTACCAATTAATTCTTTAAAAATCCTACAATGTGATTTTCTGGATTTTTTTTTCCCATTTTGTCTCTCATAGTTGAGGTATACCTATGATGAAAATTACAGGCCTCTCTCATCTTTTTAAGTGGGAGAACTTGCACAATTGGTGGCTGACTAAATACTTTTTTGCCCCACTGTATACCTGTGAAGAGCCTGGTTTGATTAAATATGCAACAGATTAAATGGCCAAAAACTGTTCAATTTAAAAACAAACAAAACAAAACAATTTCCGTTCATCTCCAACCAAAGCACTACAGAGAGAGAATACATCTACAGGAGTAGCAAACACTAGAAGGTAGAGTGTGCTCGCAAGTTTAAAGCATGTAAACACACACACACACACACACTCCTCTCACCTCTCTGATTTTGTCCCTCTTTTCCTTGGTGTCAGGGTCCCCTGGGTCACCATTATTGACCCCTACCAGTTTGGGCATAGGTACTGGAGGCAGTGGTTTGGGTCCATCTTTCTTCTTCAGGTCCTCGGCTACCTTGGTCTTCTCTGTCTGGATCTCTGCCTTCAGCTCCTCTTTGGATTTGCGGAGCTTTTCCTTGGCTTCCTGCAGTGCCCGCTCATGATCTGCCCGGATCTTGTCACGAAGGCTCTCCTCTTCTTCTCTGCAAGCACACAGTGAAATATATCAGTAAAGAGTAACTTTAATTGCCATTTTAAAAATATATATATATAGTGTAGGAGCCAGTCTATATTTTATTTATATAAAATGTTTTATAAAATGTTATATAAATTGTTAATATAAATATTAGTATAAATATTATATAAATTGTTAGTATAATTTTACACATACACACATCCATGGCTTGTTTAAAAGTTTAGGGTCAGTAAAATTAATTTTTTTTACGAAATTAATAAATTTATTTAGCAAGACCTTGGATTTAAAAAACTGACAAAGGTATTTATTTTCCTTTAAAATAAATATTTTTGTACCAAACCATCACATAAAAATCATTAAAACATACAAATTTATGAAGGATCATGTGACACTGAAGACTGAAAATTCAGATTTGTCATCACAGAAAAAAAAAAAATATTAAAATAAACTTATTTTAAACTTTATTTTGGATTAATTGTATTTTATACAAATATACACTGAAGGAAGAAATTAACTCCTCCCACAGAGGACAGTACATTAACAACAAACAAACCTCATCAATCTCTCCAACAAACCAACATAGGTTTATAATCAACTCGTAAAAATATCTTAGGGTTCTGTTATAAATCTTCCAGTCAGGGGAAGAATGGAGATATGACTGCAGGGACAATAATCACAGACTTTTACACTGCTCACAGCTTCTATGATGAGGCAGACAATCTACTCACAGGCATTTCTTCTGCAAATGAAAAACATAGAGCATCTCAACATCAGCTTATATAATGACGCTGAGCCTGTTTCTGCACCTCTGCTAAATCTACAGCTCCAAAGCAAAATAAATTATATTCATACATTACAAGCTTGCAGTCTGAATCAAATGTGATGGGTTAAAAGAGCCAGAGAAGACTGTGAAATAAAACAAAGAAAATAAAACAGGCATATATGTCTTTCAATTGCATTGACTTTGCTGACAGAAAACGAAAAAACAAATATGCAGCATACAAGTCAGAAACTCATACAAGACAGAAAGATTCATCGGTTTAGATCATTCTAAAGAACATTATACTGAATCAGTAGTTTTTGAATAAGCATTTGACTAAATGAGTGAACCGCAAATCATTACTTCCATTCGTGTTCGACTTATAATGAACAGAGTGTTTACCATATGTACTTGGACTCCGTGACTTAAATTACCATAATTACCGGCGGTTATTCAGAAATCATTCCCAGAATGCTTTGTAATAAGTGGTACTAAAATTGTATTAAAAGAAACAATGTGTTACAACAATATTATTTTCATTAGTATGCATGTAGTTAAGAGCAATTAAGGGGGTGGAGTGTGGGAGAACGCACAAGAGACTCATCATATAACACAAGCCACAAAGTAACATAATCTGATGCCACACACACATAAAGAAGAATAAAGGTCCTATATAGAAGATTTTTAGGTCCTGTGAATCAATGAAGCACACCAGCCTAAAGAGAGAGCAGGAGGGGATTGTAAGGAAAAGAGGTCAGGTGGATACAGTGACACAGACAGTGATATGCTGGGGCGACGCGGGTTATCTCAGACTGGTTCACTCATTGTTATTTACGGCCTGGAAACGTTCGCCAGGTGACAGTAAGACTGAGTGGGGAAGACCGACAAAACATCTGCTAATCTATGCGGTTTTAACATTCATTTCAATGCTTTACTTAAGTGCATAGTTTATTATTGATAATATTTAGCCACTATTTTGCATCATTGTGCTTCATTAGCTTAAAAGATATATACGACGAACACTAGCATCGTTATATTGGAGGATAAGAACTTTAATTACAGTAAAGCATTACTGAGTGCTGATGTGCACATTTTTGATGCGCGGGTTAAAGGGCTAGTCTGCAAACAGGGACGTGCATGAACTGGAAAAATGTGGGCACTAGTGGCTCCTTGCGAGGGACATGAGAGCAAAGGGCCTCGCTAATGACAGTAAACACCAATAACACTCTGCACTGCATTAGAGTAAAGACATCTAATGTCTATGGTAACGCTCCACTATAATGGATTTACCTACAAATCTCAGCCTGCAACTACTGGCCCCCTCTCACATAATTCTTTTGGATTTTTGTTTTTTGGCTGCATTATCTCTCTCTCTTTCTTTGAAAGGCTTCTCAAAGCTAAGTTAGAGTCTAGGTGATTTCATGGAAGGCTTATAATGTCAAACATGCGATTAGAAGCATGTCAACATTTGTCTGAATCAATTACCCCAACTGAGACAAAGTCAGTCCAGGGCAAATCAAAGTGTGGCTGCATTAACATGTTTAGCTCAATCCATTGCGTGCAGTCCTACTTTTCAGGAGAAATTCCATAATTTCCAGGCATTATGTGAACCAACTTACAATGTTCCCAACAAGCTCTAACTGGAATATTCTTTGGAAAGTATTTATATAAGTTATTATATGAGCTCCAAGTAAAAGTGCTCCATGTATATATATATATATATATATATACATATATATATGTCTTGTTTGATAAATATAGTAAGCATTTTTTTTACAGTAATAGCTATTTGCTCTGAAATGGCTTAAATGAAAAGTACCATAATTTCAACCATCGCAGTCAAGCATTCATAGTCAAGCAAAAACTAAAATACAGTAAAATTATATTTTTAACCTACCCACACATCCACCTTCAAACCTCAGCTGCTTCACTAGTGAGGGCTTATCGTAGAAGTACACCAAATTCTGTCGACAGCAGAATGGGTCCAGAAGCACTTTTGGAGCTGTTATCCCCTGTGTGTGGCTCTCCGGGTGTAAAGCAGGTTCTCATTCTAGTATAGCAGATTAATTCTGTATGCCTCAGTAGACCCAATCCATCTCAGACAGACCCATTCCTCAGCCCCGTCATTAGGCTTTGATCAGGATTAGTGGTCGACTTATATTGGTTTTTGACAGCTGATGCCGATATCTTAGAAAGCAGGGTGACCGATGGCCAATATAAAGCCCGCCCATCCATACATCCATCCATACTTTAGTATTTAAAGGGGTCATATGATGCGATTTCAAGTTTTCCTTTCTCTTTGGAGTGTTACAAGCTGCTTGTGCATAGATACGATCCCTGAAGTTGCAAAGACTAAAGTCTCAAAACCAAAGAGATATTCTTTATCAAAGTTAAGACTCTGCCACGCCCCCCTAAAACGGCTCATTCTAACACTCCCCCACATATCTACCTCACTATGTGGAAATATTTGCATAATGCGCCCAAATGTGCACACAAAGAAAGAAGGCGTGGTTTCAGTAACCGCAGTTAGTGTTGAAGCAGCCATGTCAGAGAGACGCTGTGTGTTTCTAGGCGAAAGCAAAAGGACTTTATTTGGCCTTCCGAAAGTAGATGCATTTAGGACTCTTTAAGATCACTTACAACAGAACAGCAATGCATTTTATGGACGCATTTTATGTCGCCGATATATCAGTATTGCCAAATATGCCGCCGATATGAACATTTTTTTTACAGAACATATAACGCAGATTAAATGCTTCTGAATGGTGTAATTACTTAGTTTGTCCAGCGCGCTCCATTGTTTGCTACTGGCAACCCAGGGGCCCGTTCTTCGTATGTCGCTTATTAAATCCGAGATGAAATGTCACATCCAAGATGATATCATCGCACTAATCAGGATCTGGCTAATTCGGTTCTTCGAACACACCTGCTGTTGATGAATAGTATGGCTGGATTGAGTTATGAGATAATTGCGTGTTCATGCGTTGGTTTAAAAGGGGTTCTGTATCGATACTCGAAACCACGATCAGCAATGCAGCAATTGGCTGGTGACAAGACCGCAACGTAATGACATCATATACTTAAAAAAGACACCTGATGAAAAACTTGACAAATTTTGGGACTTCTATAAGGAAACAGTCAAGTGAACAAAACTACAAGAATGTTATAATAGATAAATGAAATGTGCACTGTTTTTATTTTATTTACATTTTTTACATGATTCCTAATTATTTATATTCACGATTTCTAATATTTGTATAGGCTTTAAATTTTTATTTCAATGTAGTAATTAGCAATTCATTTAATTTTATATTTGAACAGATTTGTTATGTGACCGCATTAAATTAAAGTTTCTTAAGGGTCAAGATCATGTTATCTGCATCTCCTGCGCTCAACCAAGCCACTCCCATAATAGCTGTCATCACTCAAATTAATGCATGACTCTACATTATCTGTATAGCATGTGTGTAAGACAACAATCCAAGATCATGCCAAATCGTCAACAATCAAATCCAGCTAACTGAGTTAGCGACGTACGAAGAACGGGCCCCTAGGTCAGTGTAGCGTAGAGATGCGCGGATGAGCTCAAACTTCACCCAAGTCCGCTGCTTAAATAATCCGCCCGCCACCCGCCCGCACCTATATTTGATCGTCACATTACAATGATTTTAATTCTTAGTTTTGCATATGATGATGAATGGATGGCTCATTTTTAACAGCAGATTCAGTGACGTTAAAGACTAGAGCTGATCTGCGCATCACCACACGCATCTGCGGTGCATTAAAGCCTGTGTTACGGCCACCGGAGCTGATCGCGGCTGGACTGGTGTTTATACCGGCCGCGCCGTGGCCCAGAACTCATGCTTATCACATCGGTCACTTCACATCGCACGGCGCACATACGGTGTATATTGTAAACTGATGCCTTGTTCTATTTATGACGTGCTGACACAAAGTTCAAATGATTCTCAACGGTCGCTTTGTCGCGTCCTGTTGCGGCGCAGACACGGTGTCAGCATAGTTTGTCAGTACAGTCAGTAAAGTAGCAGACTGAAAAGTTAGTATCTTTCTGCAGTCCAATAGACGGTGCGGTGGTGGTTTGAGTCTGTTTAGGGATGTAAGCACAGCTTTTCCAAATGTAAACATGTAAACAGAACATTTGTGTTTAAATCGTCTTTTTGCAGTTTAATATTCACAGACACACATACATGTATACGAATGTTCTGAGAGTCACAGAGTTTGTGAAA